CTTTTTTATATATTGAATAGTAATAACAATAATTAAAAATAAACTTTTCAACAGCTCCAATGCAGAAGCAGATAAAAGAGATTTAGGAACACTATGAATCATGCGGACATGTACCACGCTACAGGCGTGAGGCCTCCCTCCACACACACGCTGCTCTTTGGCTTTACTTTCTTCATTTTTCTTTTGTTTTTCCTCCCTCCCTCCCCACTTTTCCGATTTTCTCAAGTCGGGCACCACCTTGCCCAGGCTGTGCTGAGGAAGCACCTCTGGGCGCTCTCCCTTGCTGCTAACACTGGGGCCTTTTTGGTGATTTTTTTTTTTTTTTGTTGATTATTTTACTTCTCACAAGTTTTCTGATTATTTCCAATGACAGCCAAGCAGCAGCAGCAAGAACACACAGCTGCGCTGCAGGGCAAGGAGGTCAGGCCAGAAACGAACAACTCCAAATTTTTTTTGTTGTTGCTCTTTTTTTTTAATCAGGGCCCTGTTGTCCATGAACTGATTTATTCTGGAACGAGCAATGACCCATGGCGGGACGGGTGGACATGGCAATGTCCAGCGCTGCCTCGCGGGGGTTACGTGGGGAGTCTTCCTTGGGCAAATTTTCCTGTCAGCTTCTATTGCCCATTGATGTTGGTGGGGTGTGTGTGTGGGGGTGTGGGTGGGTGTGTGACCACAGCACGGGCGCTGAGAGGCCCCGTTTGCTCATGTTAAAGCTTGTTTTGTAGCCAGCTACACGAAGGCCTCGATCGAACCCTTCTATTTCGTTCTTCAGGTCATCCTTGATTACAAATCTACCCCCAGGGCTTTGGCCTTGGCTCCCTCAGTGCAGCCGTGGAACCAGTCAGTGGTTTTTGCATCCCTCTCCCTGCACAGCTGACTTAGACCAGGTAGTTGGGGCTCCCCAGCACGTAGGCTCTTTGCAGGTCAGAAATGCCCAAACTTTCTCAATCCACATCCTGGCTAGACCAGCAAAACTTGAAGTCATAGCCAGGACCAGAAGCAACATCCCTACTTGCGTGTGTGTGGATGGGGAGAAGGCTTCACATACTATTCTACTTAAGCACAGATTTACTTTTTACTGAAAGTAAGTGAGCAACTTGCATTGAATCTCCTGGGTATGTTGTGGGGGGCATCTTTCTTCCAAGCATACGTGAACTGCTGAGCTAACTTGTCCACTCCATTCAATACACAGCTTATTTAACACCTTATATACACTACGCCTCCGTCTGCGATCCCGCAGCGACCACAGGCCGTGGAAGCGAAGAATCAGTTATTCCAATGTCCAAATCCTTCTCCCGCGGGTGGAACTCGGCCGTGGGTAGGAGCAGGCGGGAGCCTGGAGCGTGACACGACCTCCCCAACCCTGCCAGGCTCCTTCGCAAGGAAAAGGCGCCCGCGAGGAGCCCAGGGAACGGCCCGGCCAGGGGAAACGTCTACGTGGCTGCAGCTCAATCTGCAGTGAGAGTAGGCTGCCCCGGCCACCGCGCTGTCCTCACGGGGACAGAAAAAGGCTTTGCTAAAGGCTGTTCCTGTCCCACCGAGCAGGGGGCAACCAGGTTCCTGCTCCTCTCCCCAAGAGCAGCAGGAAAAATCCATTTTCCTGCTGCCCCCGCGGCCGCTCCGCGGTCCCTCTGCCGCAGGCCCCGCTCCGGAGCAGCCGCGCGGCCTTCGGGGCGTCTCCTCGAACGCAAGGACAGCGCGGCCCTGGGGTCTCACATTTTAAAGAGGACTTTTCTAAGTGCGGATCTGTTTTGGACCAGATGAAAAGGAAAACTACAGCTAAAAAGGAGAATGAGAACAATAACAACGACAATAAAAAACAGTTCTATTTATGAAATCATACTGCTTAAATACCGAAATACAGACTACTGGTAAAGTCTCTTACAATAGATGCCCATTCAGTGAGATCATAACTAGTGACAGGTGAACTGAAAAAACGTTTGGAAAGCTGAGAAAGATAAGGAACAGGACTGAGAATTATGTGGGATCAATTTGCCATGTCTAATAACTCCTGATTTCAGCTGAATTGGAAATAAATACTGCTGAAAACCTGCCGTTTCCAAGCTCAGAAGTGTCTGTGAATACGAAGGTGCATGAAAGATGAGAAAGCGTGGCACGGTTTTGTTTTATTCTGGTTTGAAACTCAGTGATTCGGTTCTGAAGAGTTCATGTCAAAAGCTAAACTCATTTTTCCCTGGATCCAAAGCAGTTCATCTATGACTAGTCATGATATTTTAATATCGAGTTCCTCATTTACATAAAACAGGTAAAATAGGTCACAATACTTTAAACAAGTAAATTAGGAAAAATCAGTTGTATTTGCAATCATAAATAGGTAGAAAATACAGACATGTTTTAAAAATTACTTTTTAATGAATTTGGCAGCGGATCATGTTGAAATGCAAATTTATCATCAAGAAAAAAATATCAGAAATCTGAGAAGAAGTGTTAGAAAAAAACCAGAACTGTAAAAAGGTGAATGTGCTCATTGGAACTCAAAACCCAGAGATAACAAAAAGAATCTTTCGTTTTTTGGAGGGGAAGGGAGAGGGGCCCTATTTGCCCGAAACAGTGAGTTTTTGCTGTCCGTGGGCCGGGCCGGCCGCACAGCGCCCGCCGCGGCGGGGTTGTTGCATAAGTGCAAGGCGATTCCCTCGGTACATGGAAGCGGCTGATTTCAATGGCACAGTTCACCCCGCGCTGGGGCTGGGGTCGGGTTGGCTCTCGGGTCTCTTTCCAAGGTGTAGTATTAGCCCTCTGGTTCGCAGCGCAACGCTCCAGCTCCCTGGCTCACCAGGGACCTTCTTCACGTAGCCAAACCGTTTATTTCCCCCCCTAAAACCTAAAGTTTGTCTCAGCTATACAGCATGAAACTAATGTGCAAACAAATCTCAAATGCAGTCATATCAACACAAACAAACAAAATATCGAGCATCAGTGTTTCACCTGCACTCCTCAAACCATTTATTTCGATGCCTAACCTGCTACTCGACCTTAACCAGGGAAGGGGGCCTGTTTGCTGCGGGCACTGTTTGTAACTCCAGAACGAGAGCCCGAGTCCAAGCCCACCACAAGTTACCTTCCACTTCTGGGCCTTTGACAGTTACAGGGTTTTTTTCCTTGTTTTTAACTAAAAAAACCCCGATTTTCTCCAGTGAGCTCCTCCAGGCCTTGGGACGGCTATTGCCACTGGCCCAGCAGGTAAAATATAGTATTAGCCATCTCCAGCCGTGGAAAAGTTTAATTTGTAACTCTTACAACACAAAAACCAGAAAACAACAGCAAAACAGCAGCAGCTGATTTGTTTCTACAACTCAGCCATTTGATTAAAAGCCATGTACAAGTTCAAATTAGGAAAAAAAAAAAAAAGGAACAAAGAAGTGTAGATGCAGCTACCTTGGGGTTTTCTTTGCTTTGCTTTGGTCCATCTCTTTTTGTTTTAAATCATCCCTTCTCTTTTACAGTAATACCAACAAGTTAATCGAAAAGTAGTTGTGCTGCTGTGGCCAGTTAGTCCACGAGGCATTAAAGAAAAATAAAACTACTGCATAGGAATGTTAAGAACTGGATATGTTCCTGTTTAAATGACAAAGCCTGTCCCGACAGCCTAAGCTGACAGTAAAATAAGCAGATACAAACCCTGCTTTGATGAAGCATTCCCTCTATATACCTTTGGCTGGCCTAACTGTGGTATCATAAGAAGGAAAAAAAGCTCCCTCAAATACAATGCCCACGAGGAAAGGCAGTTTCTCCAGAGAACCTGCTCCCAGCAGAGCTTGCTTAGGTTTATTAACAAAAAAAAAAAAAAGAAGAAAAAAGAAGAGGGGAGGCTTGTCCATCCTTCGGACAGTCTTCAGGGAGGAGATCCCCATGGCATTAGCTCCTCACTTCAGCTTTCTGCACTTCCTTTTCCACAGTCCTTGTAGTGGTTATTCCTTAGGCTAACCTCAACAGTATGCTGCTCTTTGTGAGCGAATAAAAAAGGTCTTTGAATGTTCTGTGTTTCCTTTGCTTCAAAAGCCCTTGAGCTCTATTTCTTCTTGTAAGGCCTAGGCATAGGCCTCAGAAATATATTGACCCTTTCTGCCAACCCAAAATGATCACAGTCTGGCCCAAGACAAGTGAGGAGACTGGGCAACCTGTGTCCAGATCCACTCTTACTTCTTAGTAACACGGGACAGGGTACTTAGTCCTTATGTTCCCCAACCAAAACACCCAAACAAATAAATAAAGCAAATTCGGGTTACTGTCCTAGGTAGAATATTTTTGAGACACACAGATGAAAAGCATCTGTTTGCTGACTTATTATTTTCATGACTGTTATTATTAATGATGTGTTGTTACAAATACGAGTTACGGTGAGCCTGGGTGAGTGGCTTTGCTCCTACTGTCAGGAATGATCTGGTTCGTGTTCACCTTTGAACAGTCAGAGTCCGTAAGAGATTTTCTTCGTTTTTTTTTTTCCCCCGAAAACTGAAGTCCAATAATTAACAAGCAAACCAAAGACAAAGCAAATGTTTGCAGCACCAGGAACACAGTGCTGCTTTTCACCCGCGCTGCCGCAGGAGCAGCCTGCCCGTCTCTTTTTGCAGAATTCAAGTTTACACCAGCGATACCTCAGCTAAGGACGCCATGTTGCAAACTAAGGAGCAGCTCCTCAACCTCCTTACTCATGCACAAACAGCAGGCATGTCACCTAAGTAAAAAAAATGAAAAAAAAAAGTGAACCATTCCAAATCCAGCAAACGCCTTCCTAAACTCCTTCTCTTGGATGGGTGTGAGCCTTTTGACACCCAACTTCTCCGCCTCCTTCTCAGTCTTTCTGCTCCAGCTGCTCCAGCTCTATGTTTTTTTAAGGGACTATGTAAAACATATGTAAAACTATGGAAATACCCTTTTCCCAATGGGACCCCGAAGCCTGTCCTTTACCACAACTGAACCAGAGGGTGGAAATACTACACCTTTGAAAATTCTCTAGAAACAGGATCTTTTTTTTCCTCAATCTCTCAACAGAGCTTCTTCTGTGTGTTCTGTAGGTTACCCTGCTCCCAACCATACCAGCACCTGAAATTGCTTTCTGAAACTTGAATATATTGCTGGCAAGACAATCAATTCAAGTGGTAAGGTGTATAATATTTAGAGATAAAGATATATATATTTAAAAAAACCAATAATAGTAAATTCCTGTAATATGTCTAGTCTGATATGAAAGCTCTCCCTCTACAGAGAGACATCTGCTGTGATTACCTTACAAAATATTAAAAAAAAAAACACACACAAAAAATAACTTTCTCTGTGAGAAATAAAAATAAATCCTAGTGCAAATATAAAGCTCTGTAAACCTGGTCCTATGAGAATCTATGGTTAGTAAACGGCAGTTAAAGCAGGTTTATCCTCTCACAGAGAGAGCTCACATCATGGTTTCCACAATGATATGAGTTGGCTTGATCAATCCGCCATTCGACGTCCCATTGGGGCAGAAGGGAGTGCCGCTCTCCGTGTCTTTGGACCACCGATTCACTTCCTTGGGGGCAGCCACCGCTTTTATCCTCTGGAAGGAGAGAGAAAGCCCAGGTGAGGAGGCAAAACCCAGTTGTCACCTCTGCACTGATCCTGCCTCGAGGCTGGAAGCCGGGGAGAGCCGAGGACACGCGCGGGGCGCTGGATTTGCTGGGCTGCAGCTGCTCCTCGAGCTGCTCTGCCTCATTCAGAAACAACCCTGCCTTTCAGCCCAGCGGTTCTTGGCCAAGTGGCAACTTCTCTCCTACATCTCTGTTCACAAAGGACGAACGAAATGGCATCTGACCAGTGTTTACTCTCTTCCCTTTCCTAACATGTTTTTTGTGGAGTGTTTTGGCTACTTTTAGACTTGTCTCTCAATAGATGGGGAAAATAAACACTCAAGAAAATGTTCTGGCTGTGGCTGAAAAAGACTATTAACACTTAGAGGAAAACAAATTCAAGTATTTGTGCTCCAGGAAATGTTCCTTTTTCATTTTCTTCTTTTTTTTTTTTTTTCCTAACCCAAACTATCCCACTTTCTCCTCCAACAATATCCTCTCTGCATTTCAGACCAACTCACTAGAGGAAAACAAAACTAAACTGAAACCTCAGATGAGAAGTGCTAAGTTTAATACTTGCACAACCTCTAAAACTTTCTGCTTTAAGAAAAACAGATCAGGAGAACCAGTGCTGAAATGTGAAACACAAGAGATTGCATAAAAATCTGAACTTGAACAAATCTGCACTGTCAAGTCTGAATCTGAACCAAATTTTCCAAAGCTAAGGGGAACCTGGATCCAGTCTTTTGATTTGATCCATTAGAAAAGCTAAGCAGTGAGGCACATTGGCACTGGGACTTGACTTCTATTCAGACCCTAGAGTGAAGGCCAGGTTTGTGAACCACACAGTCTTTGAGTGCTTGTCTGCACATGAAGGCAACAATTTGCCAAGCTGAAAACTGCAGATGCGGAAGGCAAGTAGAATCATCTGGTGTTTGTTTGAGGACAGAAGGCTTTGCATTTGTTCTGCTTCTACTGTTTGCCAAAAGGACAGGTGATCTTTAACAGTCTTATTTGCATTCGTTGTAGTAGAGATCTATCCAACTTTGCCCTACCTGGACCAAGTGCCAGTTCTCCAACTGCTGCATTTATTTTGTATAAAACGGAGCAAGTTAAAGCTCCCTTTCTCCATACGGACAGCTGTACAGAAAAGTGAGATGCCTGGTCAAGTCATGGTCTAACTTATTGAGCTGATGAGGAAAGGTAGCATGGTGTGGCCCATATACCCTATAAGCACCCCATTCTCTTTAAAATAAGGAGAGGTGAGGGCTACTTTGCCTAAACATGGGATCTCTCTTTTCCAAGTGTCTGTTAAAGCAAATCACCCAGAGAAGAAGCCTAATGCAAAGAGAATCCCCCATCACCCTGACTCAGACCTGAATTTGCTGTCCCACATCCAAACCAGTCTCTGCCCCATAAGTAGGCTCCTTCGGGTGGTTCTTACCTCAATGAGTGACCCATCTGACTGTATGATGCGGATGACCATCACCATAGGGATGCAGATCATGGAGGAAAGGGCAAGAACCCAGCCCAGGCCGATTGCCCAGTCTGGGTATGTGTAGACCTTGTTGTAGGTCAGCGGTTTGTACTTGGCCAAAGAAAAGATAAAGCACCCCTGTGTGAAAAAGAAGGGAAAACAAAGGGAGGCTCAAAATATGCTGAAATAATGCTGAGCTCTAGTGTTATCGCTGGCCCTAAGGAAGCCAGACATTGAAAGGCAGAGCTGACAGACACAAAACATATCTTAAACCAGTGGAGCAAGCACACTTCCTCGGGCTTTTCAGGACTAAACAACCTGCTGGACATTGCAAAGAGCTTACTGGGATGTTCTCCCCAGCAAACAATATACACCAAGCTGAGCATCTGCTTCAGACTACGTCGATCTTTTCATTAAAAGGGCTTCATAGTCTTGTTCACTTAGCGCAGTGAGTGCTTTTTGGAGAGTGACTTATATGTGTCACGAAGGTAACATTTGCCCAGAAAAATACTCCCAGATTTAGTCTGCTATGTGTTGCACAGGCACAGCAGAGAGACGTCATATTAACAGCTACCATCAACCAAGGTCATGTCTTTGAAGGCTGTGTTCAAGCTTCTGAATGCAGCAGCCTTGCATTAAAGAGGAGTGGTGAGATGAAGGCTCAAAGCTGCCACACAGAAGACTTAAAACAGCAGGGTCAGTACTCACCACGCAGAGAACTGGTGTGATCACGATCCAGCTCCATTTCATCCAAGGACCAGGTCTGTATCCAATCATATCCTCAATGGCATCATAAATATTATCAGCGCCTGTAACGGACAGTAAAATATTTATCAGAATCCTGCATATAAAAATGGGGTAAGACAGTGGATTGTGCTAAGGATTAAGCAGAATCACATCCTGCCCAAGAAGGATGCTCATCTGAAGCCCTCTGAGACCAGATTAGAAACTGCCATCCACCGTCCACCACACACACTCCACTTGCCAAACTGTCTCTGTATGTGCCGGAGGGACCATCATGGGAAGGACACAACAGCAAAAGGAACGTCCAGTTTCTATGGAAATTTGATCCAAAATGAAGAATATTTTTGTTTTGTTTGGCTCTTTTTTTAAGGAGATGGAGTGAGGAATTAGGGAAATGACCAGTCACAAGTTGCAAACTTTCCTGATCCCTCCTAAGCTACTGCCACAAGCAGCAAATGGGGCTACTGTCAGACTTTGGCAATCTCTTGCAAATCTCAGACATCTCCTGGAAATAACAGACAGAGTGCACTTTCCACTGGCTTTCTTTTCATATTTTCTATTTGGTTGGCTTGACCCCCACAGACAGCTTTGAAAATAATTTGTTTTGAGAGACAAACACAAGTTTTCATGACTGGCCAATCTTTCAACTCTCATCTCTGAAAACACATGTAAATGCTTAATTGTGCCTTTCTTAATTACCAATGGAAAAAAAAAATCTTTTTTTGTGTGTGTGACAAACATTGAGGGCTGGCTTGATCCCAGATGCAAATTTGCCTCCAAAAGGGGACTGCAAATTTATATTTATGGTAAGAATCTGTTGCTGGGAAGAAGCTAGTGGAATGACTAACTACTAAGTGTTTGGCTAGCAAAATTGTCACTGACTCATCAAAAGGTACTGGATGAAAGGATTCACACTTACCATAAACCCAGGCTACAGCAATACATTCAAAGAATGCAACCCACAAAAGGCATACACCACTAGCTGCATAGTAGTCAAAGAGTTGAAAAACATACATGCCACCCTGTAAAAGAGATACATCACGGATTAGGATCCAGCAGGAAAAAACTCTGAGCACTCTAGGCCCAGCTCCAAATAAAATATGTTTGTGAACAGCGTATGCTGCTTGCCAGGTACTTGTTTATGCCAGGTAATATCAACTAACAGATCTTTATGACTGCTCTCTAACAAGCAGAAATGTCAAGCAACTAGGTAAGGCAAACACCTGGCATTACCTTCCCCAGAGAATATGGTTGTTTACTATAGAAAGCACTCTAAACGAGAAGACGATTAACCAAAATTAAGCCACTTAGTATAATCGACTGAAACAGTTAAGTCTTTCCTTCTTAAAAGTATTTTTAGGATGGGCATTTATAGAAATGAATGGTGTAAAGAAATAATAGGTCTTTAACATCAATGGCTCCAAAAAACTAAAAATGCAAGTCAGCTCATCAGGAGGGTTCTCATTTATGAACCTAATGGACTGTTTTTCATCAGAAAAGTCTGTCGTTTTACTGAATTGCTAGACCTATTGCTCTCACCACATAGAACTGTATATACCTGCACAAAATATGAGTTTGTTTAGGCATGGCTCTTACAGGTACTATTTTAACTCCCACACTTGTCCTCTTCCAGTTGTTTTTAAAATCTGTCTTGAATTTTATTTTGGAGATAAATATCACAGCAGTGCAGCCACTAAAACATATTCCAGTCTTGTTTACACTAGAATAAATCCAAGGCTATATAACTGATTCAGATCTGTGTAACTAAGATTAAAATCTCTT